TCTGCTTGTTGGTGTCTTGGTGTGGTCTGGGACCGTTGTTGTTGCTGCCTTGCCCAAGGTTCCATTGCGTGTTGAAAAATCAGCCGGAATTGATGTACTTGTGCAATTTGTACTTACATTTTTTTTTTCGTGACTCGCTAACCTTTTCTCTATTTTGCGCTTCTATCGTTCATGGTATCGTGTTTGTTGTTGTAAAACTTGCTGACCCCCTGTGGCCCCTACTGAGCCTTCTTCATAGCTCACCGGATTCCTCCTCCACTCTGAATAAAGATTCCGATTCGACTCGACATGCTACTGGTTCTGTGGAAACCCGAATGTCCCTTCGCATGCGCTATCGCCGCTACAGGCCCGCGGCTCTCACGACACCAACTTCTCAATGCCCGCGCTCCCTCTTCTTAGTATGTATGCCGAACTTCTTTCGCAGCGTACGTAGCCAACCGGGCTAATCGGAGATGCGTCGTATGTATGTATGTCAAACTTCTTTCACACCGTACGTAGCCAAGCGTGCAAATCGGATGTGCGGGTCTTCAGCGGGCAGGGAGCTGCATTTAACCGACGACTCCACTCTATATCCCCTACGCCCCCCCCCCCCCCATAATTTTTTCTTTACATTAATGCATTACACTGGTCAACAAAAAAAACATTTGTTTCTGGCCTGGACTTTTGCAGCTGTTTTAGACTAATTTCAGGGTGCCGATTCCAAATCTGATCTCAGATTTGCTCTATCACATCTCATTTTATGCTATCGGCATACCCCATTTTCATTGATTTTACCCGAAATTAACTCTGTCACTTATGATTGCAAGTTGTTGCGAGTCAGTGACTGCTTTAGTGTTAAAATATGGTGCTGTATTTTTAGGATAGTGTGTTTATAATATAATTTCATGTAGATATCCACATTTACTTAATATTTTTCTTCTGCAGTTTTTATTGAACATGCAATATTTGATATCTCAAAAACCTGATGTGATAGACAAAAACTGATGCCAGATTTGGAATCACCTTAAAACCGTTGGAATACCTTATGCCAGAAAAAGTGTGTTGACCAGTGTTATTATTGTCCCTTCATTAAGGTCGCACACGTAAGGCAGTGAACACACGGCTGGGAGTGTAATCGCGATTCCTTCGGGGCGATGATTCACCCTCTTCTCACTCCTGCACGAGCCGCGTCGGTGTCGCAATCTCCACAAGCACCGCCTCCTGCCCGGGGGGGGGGGGGCCCTCTTGTAAGATTTAATTAATTGTAGATTTACTACTGATCATATCACGCAATCAGTACAGAATTTAAATCTTCACTTAAAGCTTTCGTGACTGCAAGAATTCATATTCTTGGGTCGTTCCGTAAAGTCACGTAGATAGGTTCAAAGAAATAATAAAAAAACAAAAACTACCAGAAGTGGTCGTCTTCCCCCGTTTTCCTGTAGACGACCGCTCGTGTTGCGATAGAAACGTCGTAGTTTTTTGTTATTTTCTTTGAACCGATCTACGTGACTTTACCGAAAGACCTAAGAATATCGTAAAGAATTTGCCCGCAGACCTAAAAAAAACGCTCTCCACGAACGCTCAGGGACTCGTACACACGTCCTGCTACGAAATGTTTAATTATATAGCTCACAATTCGAAGACCGTGAAAAGCTTTGGAGCCGAGCTCGTGAACTTTTAACACGGAGGATATGGCTTTGGCGTGACCACAGGGGTGAAAGCTCCATCCCCTGGCCTCCTCCCAACCCCCCAGGAGAGAGGAGGGGCAAGGGGGGGGGGAGATTACCCCTACCTATAAGTACTAAAAGTACTTGTACATATAAAGCACAAAGAGTGATGCATTAGCGAAGAAGCACTGCAGTGGTGTTCGGAGCATGTCAGCGACTACCGTACGGTAACGTGAAATTCACAGCGATGGAATAGGCTCACATTTAGCGAAAACTGTCAAGGGCTCTTGCCTAGTGAACGGTGACCGTCAACTGGTTACAATCGAGAATCTGGTTTATTAATCAAAGTGTGGTCAAGACGCGAAACACGGACGTCAGCCGTGCCCGGCTTGGTGTATTGACATGACCATTATGAGTACGATGAATAATCCAGCCACCTTATTCTTGGTTCTTTCGGTAAAGTCACGTAGAAGGGAAAAAATAAAATATATAAATATATTATTTTTTTATTTCCCTTCTACGTGACTTTACCGAAAGAACCAAGAATATGGATCCCTGCAGTCACGAAAGCTTTAAATCAAAACATCCAGCCACCTCTTACATTTTTTTTTAAAGGCTCATGTGTATCGAGGAGAACAATGTGTGTAAACATCAGGTCTTCATAACCGAATGCCATGCTATGTTCTGTCTGATTTCAATCAAAAGTGAGGGGTTGAGAGAAATTGGGACACAGACTCTCGTTTGGGAACATCCCTTGTTCCACAATATAACCATTAGAATAATACATCCCTGAATCACAGCAGACACGGAAATCAAAAAACATCCGTCTGTCCCTCAATCGAGCAGTCAAGGGGAATTAAGAGGCAGAATCTGCCTGCAATTAATCTGTGCTGCATGAGACTTTTTCCCTGCGCTGGTCTCTCGCGAAATCTACTAATGAGGCGGCTGCATATATCATTAACCCTCCGATGTCCATGTTTTACCACCCACCCCCGAACGCGGCACTCTTGTGATCGGAGCGAGCCTCTGTCACTCGGCAAGAACAACCCCGGAGCATCCGCCGTCAGTTCCAAGTCAAAAGTGCGGATAAACCGGTCCTTGGGGCGCGCAGTGACGCACTCCGTTCTTTAGAATCAGGTGGTCGAGACACGCCGGGAGGGGGGCCTGCATGTTCTTGAGTCAGGGGAACATTAACTGCGTGGGAGGTGCACCATTGTACTGTGACTCAGAAGCCGAAACAACAACAACAGCTCTCCACACAAAAGACGTCCCCGTTGTTCAATGCAGATTGTCCAATGACAGCAGAGCCATGAGACAAAATAACACCTCTGGAATTGGCACGGTCCCACCGACTATGAAAAATAAGAAAAGGTTTTATCCCTTCTGGCAATAACACAGGTCGTGTTAAGATGTTCAAACGCCAAATAGATATCTTTTGCAAGGAATCAAGTCTGCATTAACCATACTTCGTACTTGTGGTGAACGTGCAAGGAAATACGCTCTGATGATATATTTGCATTGTATTTGAAACCGATTTGCCTACACCAGAGACAGCCTTCTTTACGATCCAGTCGCACCAGTTGTGTTAGACCAGAGAACGCCATGAGGTGAACAGTACAAAGACAATGCACGTATCAGAGCATTCATAGCTCGGGGGTTAGCAGCTGTATCACGGGACCTTTTTGGCAGGATCAACATTATGAAAAATCAGATTAGGTTTTACCCTTTCTGGCAATGATACGGGTGTTAAGATCTTACCGAATAATATTTATTTTGTTAAAATTAGACTAGTATTAGCTCAGTAAACTTTTTTTTACTAAACTTTAGTCATCATCATCATCGTCGTCGTCATCTTCAGCCATGGTTATTCCACCGATGGATGAAAGCCTCACCCAGCCCCAGGCCGCACTCAACTCTCACCATCCTGCAATGTTGTAAATCCACCTGGCACCTGCGCATGAACCGATTTCACCGCTCTATCTCCACGGTGGAAGGCTTCATTTGTTTAAATTAATATTTAATATTAATTTAAACAAATGAAGCAATCAAATGAATTTTCTAATCCTCTCGCTGTGGGTAGAAACGGGGGCGAAACATAATCGAAGACCGTTTGCGTTTTGCAAACCTGCTCTTTGATGTTCGCACTTTTAACGTGGATCAAAGTAGATTAATATGAATTAAACTGCATTCATTATAACATCTGCTTCGGTTAAAACGATCCAATTTACCGTGGCTTATTTGGGATCTCAGACTGCACAATGCAAAGAAAGCTTCTGGATTTTTAGAGCTGGACAGGGTTAGCTTGCATATTCCCAACAGCTTTGCCGGCTTTCATTTAACCACAGCTCTTTGAATTATAAGCAACATAGTAATGCCAGGCATTAAATACATTTCTGCATAGGCCTGCACACCCACATCAGCACACTCTATCGCCAATGCCACTGAGTGAGCGCATTGTGGCGAAGCGAGCTTTTACACTGCCCTCATGCCAAGCTATCAAAACATATATTACCCTTTCCCACTCCGATATCGTATGTGTACATCATCGGGTTTTTTTCCACGCGTACCTGGAGAAATCCCACTCCGTGTTCAAGAGGGCGGGGGGGGGGGGGACACACTCAACACTGCCATCTCCTGACCACAGCTGGAAAGCCCACCTGGTCAGCCCTGGAGGCCACACATCTTTTAATGTGTGTGTGTTTGCATGTTGACCTTCTTTCGCACCGTAAGTAACCAACCGTGCTAATCGGAGGTGCGGGGAAAGGGACCAACTAAACGCAAAAAGCAGTTCTAAATAAATTCGTTTTCAATCTAGACTTAAAAGTGCATAGCTCCAGTGGCTTCCTAATAGCGGAAGGAAGAGCATTCCAGATGGCCGCAGAAGCGCATCTGAAAAGGGGCGATGCGGTTGCCGTCTTTGTTTCATGGATAGCCAAAAGCCGCTGCTGCGAGGATGACCGGAGTTTGCCTAACGGTTTAAAAACCAATGCATCGATTCATCAAAGGCAATACGAATCTTACACTCGTGGTACGCGCATAAAGTCGTTCGCGAATTGCATTTTCGATTCCTACGCCCTGCATGCAATGGGCTCACGTGACGCTCCACTACCACATTACATTTGCCACGGGAGAATTAAAGAATTGATTCTCGGATGGAATTGCACGCCGTAAACCACGAGGGGCAGGGCGACTTGTTGATCGTCCGTCACGTGTGCTAAATAAATAAAAACAAAGGCGAGAACAGCGGACAATAAGGAAGATGCAGGAAAGCAAAACGTTGTTGGTGGAATGAGATGGGGGGGGGGTAAGTGGAGGAAAGGGGGTCGGCGGCGGGGGGGAAGCGACTCTTACCGTCTCAGAGACCGCAAGCGGAATCCAGATCAGCCATTCCTCCCGAGACGAGTCTGCGATGAACGAGCACACGGCAGGGGGCTCGCTCACGTGGCGGCGGGGGTGGCTGCGACTGCGAGCAATCCGCCGTATTCCCAACGTTCCAGCGACGTTCCAACGGGGTTTCCGGACCGAGGGCGGCCGCGTCTCGGCGCGAGCACCTGCCGAGCGCTCTCGTTGTCTTGCCGTGAACTTTATCTTCGCGCCGCGATCCTCTCGGGTTCAACGGGCGCCCAGAGGCAGGGGGTCAGTCGGGTTCTGCCGAATTCAAATCGCGCAGGTGGGGAACCCCAAGATATCTATGTGTTTATAACAATAAATCGCTTTATCTTCATCCAGGTGAGCACAAGGTCAAGCGGCGGACGTCGTCGTCGTCGTCGATTCCTGTGCACAGGCAGAGGTAAAACGGCGACAGACTGTGACTTACTCAAACGTGGACGCATGCAGGACGTACTCGTGTTAAGAGATCCAGTCGAGTGTATATTCAAGTAAAATATCAAGGACAAAGAGCCTGCAGCAACTTGATTTGTGTGCCTGTTTTGCAGGAGTCTGTTGTCAAGTTTACACGTAAGGTTACGTCCTAATATCTGTACTCCCTCTTTGTATCTTACCCCGAGTCTACTTTGCAAAAGAGACACGTCATGTTGGCGGTGTTGCATTAAGTTAGAGAGCCTCATCGACTGACTCACTGACTGATACGGAATGAATAATGAGGAATACACATATAACAATAATAGCAGCCATTCGTACAGCAGTAGACAGGTTAGTAAATTACTATTTAAAATTATTTTATCTTTCCACATATATTTATGCATCTGTAAGGATGGTCGCCAATGCGAATCGTCCAGCAGCGGATTGACCATGGCTCACGACGACAAAGGTCGAGGAGTATTTGAGGCTGACCCTCAGCAACAATGGTGCCCCCCCCCTTAAACTGTCGTCCCCACAAGTTTGGGACGCACTGTGACCACGTCGGGAGGAGAGGCAATCTTATCCACGTGATAAACATCACACACGCACCCCCCCTCCCCACATCCCAACATTAGAATCGCTGTCCTCTTACGCGATGGAGCAGCACGACAAAACAAAGTAATCGCGATCGTAATGCAGCAGCAGCAGCAGCAGGAGAAGCACTCCTTTTGTTCGTACCATGCCGCTTCGTCCGTCGCAGAAAAGAGGGGCTTAGCCCCGGACCCGCGGCAGATATATATGAAATCACACTTGCATTGGGCACCCAGAACTTATATTAGGGGCTTTGGCTCCAAAGTGTTTTTTTCTTTGCAAAACTTCAAGTGGGCAAGGAAAGGTACGGACGGAACGATCTGTGCTCGACATGCCATGTATATTGTTAGCGTGCCAAGCACTGCTGTTTGACCGAGCCACTGCCAGCCCTCTCACAGAGAGCCATTGCTCCAAAAAGCCCAACCACTGACCATTTTCACAGCGGTTGTCCTGGCCTCGATCCCACGAAGGAAAACGTTAATTCCCTCTGTGTGCACTTGAAGCCTGCGCTGCCAGGGGATTCCGTGTTCGAGGGGAGGGGGAAACTGGGCTGTGGGAAACTACCACTGCCCCGCCCTTCGTTCCATCGTGTCAACAAATTAAATTCATATTTGTCATGGCCCGTTCCTTAACAAACGTCTTCTTGGAGCATGTTTTATTTAGCCTAGGGACCCCCCCCCCCAATGACAGCTGCCCCTGTGTGGTAAAAGATGAAGATGAACGCAGCACCATACTGAGAGTCGGCATTAATCTGCCAGTCGGGTTGTGATGTTTGCTGCTGGTCTTTCAATGAAGCGATTCCATCCTCAACGACAAGTAACATGGGAATGTGCCTTCAGGAGAGGCGCTCGTAATGGGTGTGTACTACACCCGCCATGACATGCAGTTCAGAAACACCGTGGTCATTCACGAAATATACACAAACACAAACTTGAATTGCATTGGGGACATCCTTGCAGCAGCGGTTTTTGGCTGGCCATCGAACAAAGATGGTTATCGGTATTACGCGCTTTCGGATGCGCTTCTGCGGCCGTTTTGAACGCTCTCTGATATTAGGAAGCCACTGGAGCTATGCACTTGTAAATCTAGATTGAATACTCATTTCCTTAGAACTGCTTTTTGTGTTTAGTTTGTAGTCCTTCTCCGCGCAACTCCAATTGGCGCGGTTGGCTACGTACGACGCAAAAAAATCTCAACGTACACACATCCAGTAACCGTGTCTCACTGCGAGTGGCGGTGGCGTGGCACTTGGCGAGGAACCTTTCAGGGGTCCCTTGGACGTGCACCGAGTGGGAGGGTGGCTCTTGCCGCGTGCCCATTGCCAATATTAACTCGACCCTGTAGTCGCCCACTAATACACTTAAGCATTTCATTTATCAGGCAGGAAAGTATTGTATTGTGTAAGAGTTGACCCATGCCCAGCCAATTAGAATAACCCACCATCAATCACGCTTGCACGGTAAGGGGGGGGGGGGGAGATCAATTTAAGAATTAAACAGAATCTACTCTGAACTGCCCGTAATCAGAGTTACCTGAGATCAATTATAATCCACCTAGGAAACCACCATGCCAAAGCACGGTCGCGGTTAACACCACCCCCTCGGTCGCTCGCTACGCAGGCAGCCTTGGGCTCGACGCACACACACACAAACCATCGCGACCCGGCGCGCTTCAAATCCCAGCTGCCGGCGGCTTTCACCATGGTTACCACATCTACGTCTCTATGTAAGGAACGAAACAGTAAGACTTCTCCACAAATCTGGCTGTCGCCTGATGAAGCTGGTTGTAATTACTGGCGAGACGTCGTGCTCAGATTGTAAATGTTGTGGCTTGGCTCTCCAACACATCGGTGTGCTGTACTAGTATACTACACTATACACTACACACTAGTGCTGTACTAGTGACGAATTGGCCACGTTCTGTTTACATGACAACCCTTACTAACTGGCCGTGTCGGGTGGTGGCGGGTTTGAACGACACATTTATATATTTACGCGATCTAACCCAAAAGACCTCTGTTATGGAAATTGTTCGCGAGAGCCTACGTGTTAAACTCATTTTTATTTATTTACCCCGCTAAATGTTTTCCCGCGCGCGTGTAATTGCACCGCTAACGCCGCACTCTGCGCATTCCAACGGTGGCAGGGGGTGGCGGCTGCGTTGGCAGGCGCACACCACGGTCGGGGCACTTGAACGTATCCGCACTTTACACCTCGCACCGTATCCTCATTATCAAGCTGGCGAGCGAGCACCGGGCAGTCAAGCCGTTTACAGCCGTCCGACTCATTACACCAGGCAGCTGCTCTCTTTACGTCGCGTGGACAGGCCCCCGTCGTCGTCGTCGTCGTCGTCGCCGCCGCCACCGCCCCGTGACGGATGGGCCAACGTCGGGCCCCGTGTGGGTCCGCGAGCGACGCAGCAACAAACAGATTTACTCACAGCGTGAAGAGACGCGCGCCGACCTGTGCGCCGTTTGCGCACCGAGCTACGAGAGCAAGCGTTCTTGTACATGCTATGTCAGCCGGCAGTTGACTGATCAACACGCAGTGGTGATGATTGCTTGTTGATCATGATGATGGACAATGTCCTAGCACTGGCCGCAGCTTAGCTAAATAGAAGAATCGTGGCTCCAGGTCAGGTAGTTGCGCACCGAGCTACGAGAGGAAGCGTTCTTGATCATGCTACGTCAGCCGGCAGTTGACTGATCAACGCGCAGTGGTGATGATTGTTTGTTGATCATGATGATGGACAATGTCCTAGCACTGGCCGCAGCTTAGCTAAATAGAAGAATCGTGGCTCCAGGTCAGGTAGTTGCGCATTGAGCTACAAGAGGAAGCGTTCTTGATCATGCTACGTCAGCCAGCAGTTGACTGATCAACGCACAGTGGTGATGATTGCTTGTTGATCATGATGATGGGCAATGTCCTAGCACTGGCTGCAGCTTAGCTAAATAGAAGAATCGTGGCTCCAGGTCAGGTAGTTGCGCATTGAGCTACAAGAGGAAGCGTTCTTGTACATGCTCCATCATCCAGCAGTTGACTGATCAACACACACTGGTGATGATTGCTTGTTGATCATCATGATGGACAACGTCCTAGCACTGGCTGCAGCTTAGCTAAATAGAAGAATCGTGGCTCCAGGTCAGGTAGTTGGCACATTTAGCTACGAGAGCAAGCGTTCTTGTACATGTTCGACATCCAGTAGTTGACTGATCAACGATGATGGACAATGTCCAGGCCTGGCTGCAGCTTAGCTAAACAGAAGAATGGCGGCTCCTGGTCAGGTAGTTGCAAGTCCAATTTCTCAAATCATCATCCATTATTATTATCGTCATCATCATCCATCTGGGATGGGTAAAATGAACACGACCTGACAATGTTGTAATAACTGGTGGAAAGACGATGATGATTGTTCTGTGGATGGTCCTTGTCATAGGAATGTGGAATGGCTACCACTGACGCAGCACAACAATGGAGCGATGGAAATGATCTTGTGTGCAGCGAGAAGGCGAACTTGTTACATGACAAGAACACGAGATGGCGACAGCTTAAGGAGGTCTTAATCCAACAGTGGATTTATCGGGGCTGCTGCTGTTGATGATGTCACAGCTTTAATCATGGAGGTAAAGCATCGCCAATGTTTTCTCGTGAACAAGGAGGCTACGAGTTTGCAGTGTATAATTACAATGTACACATTTTTTTTTGTTACAACAAAAATGCTAAAAATGCCACGCTTGTTATACACAGGTGCACATTCGTTTTCTTTTTTATATGAAAAAGCTTGCTGGCGGTATGCGACTGAGCATTAAATAAATAAAGGCGCGCACACACGCACGCACGTACATTCGCGCCGATGTAAATGGAAATCCAGCTCTGTACACACACACACACACCTGTGATCTCACGACATTCACTCAAGGTGGCACAAAGGGTCTTTGCACGTACTTGCTTGTCCTGAGATGCACTCGTGTGTACAGTGGTATCGAGAGCGCTGGTTACGAAAGACCATCGGTCTGACTCTACTCCCTCCAGTGTTCTTTGCTAATTTTCAGAGGGGGGCCCACTTTCGCCGATAAGACATCATCAGTGCTGCGAGGGCCGCCACACCGCCTTGCAAGAGGTGGTTGTCGCGTGTTGTGTATTGTCGGGGGCCGTACGTCAGGGACCCGCACTGAAGGCCACCAGGGGCTGCCAGTGGTCTGCTGGCCTTGCAATGAAGAACACCTGCTCTACTGAATTTCGATTTAAAGCTTTCGTGACTGCAGGGATTCATCTTCTTGGTTCTTTTGGTAAAGTCACGTAGAAGGGAGATAATAAAATAATAAAACATAATTAAATACAATTCTCACGACGTTTCGGCCACAACGCAAGCAGCCGTCCTCA